TATACATGTTAAAAAATATATATCAAGTCTTACTCTTGATGAGCTTTGGACCCACTTTGCTGATGGTTTCTGGTACCTGTGGGGGAAAAAGGGCAGGAAGGTGACTTTGAGATCTGAAGAAGAAGAAGCAGTAGAAGTAGAAGAATGCATTATGGAACAACAATGAATTCCTCTTTTGATGAGACTTTTTTTTAATTTTTTATTTCTTTATGGTTTTAGTGGTGCCAGCAGCCCCAGTTGCCAGCAGAGTCACAGCACCCCCTCCCCTTTTGTCCTCTGACAAAGAAAAATCCAAAAAGCCTTTTTGGATGGTCTCCTGACAAGATGAAATGTATGATGCCATTCCCTCTTCTCATAAGTTTGCACACCGACATATTGAATGGATGGATGGATTGGTGGGTTCATGGATGAATGTAAAAAGATACAGCCTTTTGCCATGGATGATCTCTGCCATGGAATTGAGTTGTCCAGAGGGGAGGGAAAATGATGGGGTTCATTCACCATTCCACATACAAAAAAATAAAAAATAACATGGAAAAGTGAAGAAGGAATAGAGAGAGATAGAAAGAGGGATTGGATTTTCAATGTTGTGAATGATAGACCCTAAATGAGACAAAGCCTGGAAGCCAATTGATGGGATTTGGGGTGGCTGGATTTCATGCTCCAGAGAGAGATGAGTATCATGTTTGCGCAATGTGGGCAAAAAGATGAAGAAAGGTTGTGTTCTGGAACTTGCAATTTAAGATTCTCATCAGAAACTGTTGGATTCAACAACAGTCTATTTTTATTCCATTATTCTGTGTTTGTACATTTAAAATGTGAATAAGTCACAGAAAAAGAATATGATGTATGAACGTCAATTGAACAACATCATTCATGTGGGAAGACAGACACCTTGGTATTATCTCAAGTGAACAACCTTGGTAATATCCAATGAACAAGTACTAATTTATTGATTTTCTTAGATTCTATTTCAAAGTTATAAAAACCAAAGCTATTCCATTACAATTCAACGCCCATAAGATACAAATGTATGGTGGATAATGGAGCAAAACATGGAAGTGCCTGTTTCACACAAGGGGAAGACAATGAGATGATTAGTAAGCATGATATGGTTCAAACAAGTGTCTTATCCTCAAAGAACTTCCATATGTTGGTGTACATTTGGCAATAGAAGAGGAAGTCTAGAGGACGAGACATAGGAATGTACACTAACTTACACCATTTTTTCCAATCTCATGTTGGATGTACGAAGAGAGAAAAATACTTTGAGATGAAGCCCTTGGACTACTATCTCCACCAATGATTGATGCACAATTAATCAGTATTAGTCAACATTTGTGATGTGATATTTCCACACACAGGGCTGGAAAGTCAAGTGGTCTCAGGCTTGTGCCCCCAATGGAGCACATTCTTGTGGCAGAATTAGTTAAGTTTCTGTGGTCTTTAGGTTTGGGGGAAAAAATTGAATGTGACATCAAGGTTCAAGGTTGTTGTTTTCTTTACAACATATCAAGTTCAAACCCCAAGTTAAAAAGGAAAGGAGTTGGTTTGAATATTGGATGTCACTTGTAGGGCCAGCATTCAATGTGCCCCTTGACCTAGTTTGATTACAAAGGTGGAAGACAGCAGCAGCAGCCAACTTGACTTAATGTGGCCAAATTTCTGCATTCATCAGGATCATTTCTTCACCTCTTATTAATTCTGCCCTAAATCTGCTTCAATCCTAGACAAATGGATGAACATATATATATATATATATATATATGAAGGAGAGGAAATGTAAATGACAATGTGAACAAAACCCACCAACTGTGAACATTGAATAGACAAATCCTACACTGATACAGAGGAAACAGAAGTTGTTATTGCCATGACTCTCCACCATGGCAGCATTTCCCTTAACTGGTTTGATTGGGGCATCTTGTGGCGCATTTCAAATTACAACTTATATTATGAGCCTTGTTGATAACTCAGGTGCTCTGAAGGCCTGTGCTGCAAGCCTATTCTTCAACCCAATGGTGAAAGTTGTATTTATTCATCCAACTTGTCAGATGAGCATAGCATTAGTTATCTCCCCAAATTCTTCAGTGAGAGTGTCAACAACCACAACACACCCACTTTTTTCTTGTACCTGGAACTCATCCATGAAAATTCAAACACATTTCTTAATGCCTTTTGTAAAGAGTGTGCTCAGACTATCTATTAAAAGTCTTTGCGTAAGTGAGTAGTTAGAATTAGTGTGGGGAAGAGTGGTGTGTAGCTGAGTCTCACCCTATCTCAATTGGGTGGTGTGGATGGTGGTCTGCACAAAAGACATAAGAGTGGTTCACAAAGTTTGTATTCCTCCATGCTAAAAGAAAATGGGGATAATCTACCAAAAGATTCCATTGGTAGGGTTTGAAGTTTGTGATTAACATCAGAGTGATTTGCAAGGTTGAGCCATGTCAATTGTGGATCTTGAACTACATGTTTTTATTTAAGAATAGTAATAAAATAATGTTTTTTTAGGAGGAAGTTCAAAGATTTAAAACTATCTGTTAAGAAAAGTAAAAACGTGGAATCAAATTACTTTATTTTCTTTTAATCTGTTATTTATTTACCTACTTATACAACACACCTAAGAATTGATAAAGAAATTGAAACTGAACATTACACAAATAAGCCACTTGAATTTCAACATTTTGTTGATATGTAACTGGAATCTGAATGTTTTGGAGGTTTTGTTGGTGGAGCAAAATACAACTATATGTATATTTAACAGATAGAACCTAGCACATGTGACACTTAGTAAACTGTTTACACAAGTTTACAATGAATGGTGGAAAAAATAATAATAAAAAAAAAATGAATAATTGTAGAGTGACTCTCTTTGTGGTCAGTGGAGATTGGGCAATATATTTGACTAGATGATTTGTTGCAACAGTCCCACAGAATCATATAACACCATCTCGTAGAACAGCCAAACAACTCCCATGATGAGGAATATGACATACTTGAATATTCTAACTTAATTAAGTTGTTTTGCTTTGCCATGTCACATGACCATGTTCATAACAGCATCTTCTTGTCAACTCAATTTATGCTCCACTATTTTATTTTATTTTATTTTCATTACATTACTCATGAATCTAAAGTATCAAAGAAAAATCAAGAAATTCAAGTACGATTAGAAAAGTGTTTAACACATGTTTGAAATATATGTGCCAATATTATCATTTTGATGTTTGATTTTATAGATGTACTGTTTCATTTCAAAATAAGAACAGATGGAATTTGTGAAAAGACTGTTGATAACATGTGATAAAGTTATATATATCAGACAATTGGCAATTGTTAAGACATAGAAATAACAATGCCTTGTGATTGTGTTGTCATATAAAGCCATTGAAATCTCTTGGAGTGTTTATAAAAAAACTCATTGGACTAAGTCTCTTCTTATTGTTTGCTTAAGAAGCCCCTCTAAAATTGATTATATGTTTATTTTAAAATGATTCTTGTTAATTTTCCTGTTTCTTATATATATTAAAAATTGAAACCCTCCCCCCCCCCTTTCCAAAGTTTTTGAAATTAATATCTCACTCCTGACAATGTGAGAGAAAAATTGTTGCTAATGGTTTCTTGGAGATCTAATGCTGCCACCAAATACTGAAAATATTCTCCTTATCAAGAACCAAAAACACCCAGTCATACCATTGGTATGCTTCCTGGACTGCAAAGTCTTTGACAGGTTCAACTCTTTTTTCAAAGCCATTGAGGTGGAGCTGAACAACATGTAAGCCATGCACAAGTTAAATCAGAAGTTTCCTTCCTCCTTTGACTACATGAGTTCCTCTTCATACGGAAGTCTGCATCCACCTGTGACACAACAACTCATTCTTGATTGAATTCATGCATTTGAGGTTTACACAATTTCCTACCATTGCATTGTTTATGTTGTGAATTGATAATTGAATGAAAGTTAGTTACACTTATTTATTCAACTTAATGTCATATCTTAACTTTTTTGTTTTTGTGAATTCCAAGAAGAAAAGATAAAAAGAAAATCTGTCTGGAACAATGCTCAAATACTGTCATAAAAACAAAATGTAAGCAATGATGGCTAGATGAAGTTCTGATGCATGTGTTTGACCCAAGCAAAGTCATAAACTAAAATATGTAAGTGCAAACCCCCCTGTTTTGAAACTTTCAAAAGATGTCTTTGAGATTGTGTTGTCACTTTGTTTGATTTGACATTGGGTTTTTAGGGCATCACCCAAGATGGAAAAATGCTTACCTCATAGGAATGAGGCACAACTTCAAAAAAAAAAAAAAAAAAAACTAAACTAAACTAAACTAACTAACTATATTGAAATGGACGTATAAATAAATAAATAAATAAATAAATAAATATATATATATATATATATATATATATATATATCCAATATTATTCATTATGTTTTGGTCAAGTTTAGGGCTATGGCTGTCACATTTGCTGGCTTTCACCCTTTGCATGCTTTTTGTCTTGCAACAATGGACGGTGGCTGCAGGGGTTACCTGCCCAAATCAAAGTATAACAATGAGAAGAAGGGGAATTGCACAAAGCGTAGATGAAAGAACTAACTGGAATCAAGGCTGGATCAATGGAATACAGTATATCCATTTTAGGGGTGTATGTGTGTGTGTGTTGTGTGCTTCTATGAAAGTGAGGAGGGCGGGGGTGGGCAGCAGCAGCGCTGTGTTGACCATTCCTTCGCTTCATCTGCAAGAAAATCCGTATTCCCAAGCCTGATGCCCTCTCATCCAGCCTCCCTTGTGAGCCAGCCACCCTTGTAATACACACCCCCAATAGGGAAGGAGAGGAGGCCCAAAAAGGAAACGCAAAATAAAGTTACTGAAGGTTTTGGGGGGGGGGGGGTATGGAAAGAGAGCGAAGGATTGGCTCTGGGGGGGCGTCCAGGCCGCCGGGACTGTGAGGGAGGGTGCGCATGGCTTGTGGAAATGCCTTTCGTCCGCACCACCACCATTTCTTAGCCTGCGCCACTGCCCTCTTTACGCCCCCATCTTCTCCTCCCCCAGTCGTGCACACCTCCGCCACTTCAAAGCCCAGTGCCGCATCGACCACCTCACACACTACCACCACCACTACCACTGCCATCACCGCAAGCAACAAACCCATATCCTGTAGTGTCAGTATTATTACCTCCCTGGCCTTCGCTGCGGTGGGGTGCGGGTTCTACGTCCCTTAGTGTTCGTTTTATATACCTCCCCTCTCATCCTGCGGGAGGCTCTCTTCCTACTTACTTTCCCCGAGTTGACGGGAATGAGATATCTGCGTGTTTGCGTATCTCTCTCTCACTCTGTGGTGTCTTTCTCTTCTCGCATAAAAGAAAAAAAATTCCCACCCATCTTCTTCTTCCGGTAGTTACATCTCTTTGAAAACCCCAAAAAATCGACTATGCAGCTTGCGACTGCAAAGTTAGAGAGTTCGGTGAGTGGATCATAGATATATGCTTCTTTCCCGATTCGGTGTCTGTATCTGTCTGTAGGTGGTTCTCTTTTGTGTGTGTGTGTGTTAGTTAACAATTTCTTCGTGTGGAGAGGGGTTTTCGTGTTCGGGATAGTGCGTTGGACCGAGGTGGTTTCATTTGTTCTTGGTCAGTAGGCGAGACGCTCCAGCTTGTGCAAATCGTATCCTGGCGGCAAGCCTGCGCTGGTCGTTTGTGTGGTTGATACGATCGTAGTCATTCTTTGAAGCCCATGCATATGCTGTTGGAGGGTAGTCGTGGATCTGCTTTTACACATCCGTGGCTGGTGAAGTTGTAGTTGTCACTGGGTACCCATCTTCTTGGTGGCAGGTGTATCCCAATTGTGACATCAACATCGTCTTGGGTGATATACCATCGGAGACAATCTGGAAGAGTAGAGTAGTCGTGGTGGTAGATAAGTGGTGCCTGTGTGGCCTGGTGGTTACATGTTGGTAGCAGATGGGATCTTACTATCGTATTGACTCCCTCTAGAAGCTTCGGAATTGGTGGTCGTCCATGGCAGCTGGAGTAGCGTGAGAAACTTGTTCAAGACAATTTTCGTAATTGTAGAGTCAGTGGCGTTAGGGCTTTATTCAATGTTCGCCGTCTTTGAATACCAAGAAGCTAGCGACACAGTACGAAACCTTTAAAATTTGGAAAAGAAAAAAAAAGGAAAAGAAGAAGAAGAAGAAAAACAGCCGTCTCATCCTGCCCTCTGCATCTTCTTGTAGAGTGGTTGTGAAGAGAATTCACAAACAATCACCACATGCGGCGCAGCAGGGGTGGAGAAATAGCATCTTCTCAGATTCTCGTCTCCTCTTTGGGCCCGTCGCGGCGATCACAGGCTCATATACTGGATATTGTGGATGATTGGGCCTTGTTAGTCAAGTGCAGATGTCTGAAGACGGAGATTGAAGCCGTTCGTATACCTCCGACGCAACCTTACATTGTTCCGGATATTATTACCACGATTGGTAAGAATCGCACCAGCTTGGACAGACCGGCGATTCGCAAATTACTACCTAGGACTTGGGTCCGTCGTCGTTCTCGAGATTTTAGGGACTATCGCAAATTTTCTCTCTGAGCTTGCCGGATTACTTTACGTCAGCTTCTTGAAATTTCGCTTCAGGCAATTATCCAATTTCTCCTCTAGATCTTCGCCTCTTTGCCACTGAATCTTGATAGCCACCAGTGAAGCGTAACATGCTGTGAGGACCCTTTTTTTTTTTTTTTTTTTTTTTGTATAGGCTATAGTCCCAAGGAAGTGTGCGGTTGTCGTCAGCTTAAATCTGAACTGGAAGTCGTCGTCGCGATTTCGTGTGTTGCTTTCAGTTGCGAGTAGTAGACGAAAGTTATGGTATTAACGAGGTAATGGTGCAGTGTGAATCCAGGTAACACGACGAGTTTGCTTGTTCGAGGCTTCTGAAGCTGCAAATCTGCTAAGTTTTGAGCCAGTCTCAAAGGAATACTCGTGAAAACTGAAGTTCGGTAAAGTCGAAGATCTCCATCGAGCAACTTGTTCTATGATGCCACCCTTCGGGTCGCTTCTGGAGCCGTCCACAGATTCGAGAGGAGGCCCAGGCTCTTTCTATGTCAAACCAGAGCTCGGTGTGGATGCCGTGAAAAAGATAGGAATGGATACACCCCAGAGTGCTTTCTCCAGCTACCGTGACGCTCATCCGCCATTGCGTAAACCATTGCAGCACGAGCTCTCGGCATTTGGCCCGTTCGCAGCACAAGGTCAGAGCTCCGTGGATGCATCAGCAGTAAACGTGGCGCCAATACTACCCAGTGTGGATGCGCACTTGCAGTTGTGGAGGCCGACATCGAGGCAGCCGGTTCAAGTGAAGCACTACCTTCAGCCCACAGTGCTCCAGTCGACCACGAATAATTTTCTTTCAAAGAAGCAGAGCACTGAAGTGTCGCAGCAATTCAACGGCATGTTCCGTTCGACCAATGCGAATGCGATGCACAGCAAGTCGTCAGATGTGGGATCTAGTGGATTGGTTACAGGAATTCGTGATACGACCTCGGACGGGTTCGTGGTCGTGTCATGCAAGCAGGTGAAGTGCAAGCAAGAGTGCGACATCGCCAGCTCCTCGTTTTCGGCACCACCACTTTCTAGGAAACGCTCGCATTCGGACCTAGCTGAGGAGGAGAGCTGCGACTCGGAGCTCGTGTTAGGGATTGGTGGACGCAGCAGCGTCAGCAGAGGAGGTAGCGAGTTCAGGAATTCTCGGGCGTCTTCGCCGAGAAAGTCCTTGAAATCATCCGACACTAGACTGGATTTAGTTTCGGCGGACTTGTGTTTAGCTCCACCTGTTCTAGCGCCCGAGTACTCCAGTTCAAGCTCTCAGCAGGAGGTACCCTCGTCGTCTATGCTCGAAGTTCAACCTTTCGGCGAGAGTTCTAAGGTCTCGCATTCTCGGGGTCCGTATGCGAGTCCCACGGAGTCCCACCTCTCGTTTCAGAAAATCAAATCTCAGGATGCGTCGAGGATGGAAGGCGTCACCTGCGTCTCGCAGGCTGAGTCGCACCCGACAGGTTCAAGATGCTGCCAGCCAGTGCGGCCGCTTCTCAACTTGGAGGCAATCAAACGGGAGTGTGATGCAGTGGAGCGGGAGCGCGATAATGAGGAATCTCTGGCCCAGTCTCGCACCCATCACGAAGGTGTCGAGTTGGGTCTGTTTCCAGGCGTATTTGCAGCCGACACAGGTAAAAAGTCGGAGACATCAGGATTGCAGCTTGTCAATCTGCTGCACGACTGTGCTGAGGCCGTTTCGAAGGGCAAGATCGAGACCGCGACGCAAAAGCTGGAGGAGTTGTACTCGCACGCATCTCTCTTCGGTGACTTCATGCAGCGGGTTGCAGCTTTCTTCACGGAAGGATTGGCAGCACGGATGGTTGGAAAAGACAAGCCCATGTACAAGAATCTGATGGTGCAATCTCGCCTCGACGACTATCTGTCTGCCTTCACCACCCTCTACAAAGTTTGTCCATATTTCCAGTTCGGTCATTTTGCGGCGAACCAAGCCATTTTGGAGGCTGTAGAGGGTCGCAGCGTTGTGCACATCATCGACATGGATTTGATGCAAGGTTTACAGTGGCCGGGATTTATCCAGTCACTCAGCGAGCGCGAAGACGGTCCTCCTAAGCTCAAAATCACTGGAATCGGCACGAGTTGTAATTCTTTGCAAGACACCGGGCGGCGGCTAGCATCGTTTGCAGAAACCTACGGCGTTCCATTCGAGTTTCATGCCGTCGTTGGAGAACTAGAAGATCTGACTCCAATGGAGCTCGGCGCGAAACCCGGCGAGGCGGTAGCTGTAAACTGTGTGATGCAACTTCATCGCCTCCTCAACAATGGCGACAAATTGCATAACTTTATCGCGGGGTTGCGGAGCTTACATCCTGTGATGTTGACCCTGGTGGAACAGGAAGCGAATCACAACACCAGCTCTTTTCTGGGCAGGTTTGTGGAGGCAGTCCACTACTATGCAGCGGTTTTTGACTCCTTGGACAGCTCCCTCCCCTTGGCAAGTGAGGAACGTGCGAAGATCGAGCAGCTGTATTTTGCTCAACAGATCAAGAACATAGTGGCGTGCGAGGGTGTAGATCGAATCGAGCGTCACGAAACTCTTGATTTGTGGCAGAAACGGATGGTCACTGCAGGGTTTCGACAATTGCCCTTGAGTTCCCATGCCGTCACTCAGGCGAAGCTGTTGCTCTCTCTGTCCCCATGCGGCGGGTATCGCCTCTCTCAGCAACCTGGCGGAAGCATTTCCCTCAACTGGCAAGACCAGTGTCTCCTCAGCGCTTCCTCTTGGGTTCTGTAGATTGATGGTAGCCAGATTGCTCCCCATTCTGCACCTGACGTCTTGGACAACTTGCTGGTGAAAGGGGCCAACCTATTTCTACTCATTATTTGGAAAGCTTAGCCATGCTGAGTAGCGACGACTTGAAGCAGGCTTCATCAATACATTCTGTCATCCAGCATTTTTAAGAATTTAGGAATTCCATGAAGACGAGCTCGATGCAGTGCGTTCTGATTATCACCAGCTAAGGTCATCTGCTTGTAATCAAGAATATTTTGTTGGGTAGGAAGCTCGGGACTTTGATTTTTTCACATAAAGACGTCACATCATACATGCAGCCTTTCCATGCTAGCAGTGAAGACGTCCATAGCTGTCTTGATCAACTCAAGGAGCAGTGCGAATAGAGGCATCGCGCAATCAAGATTCAAGTGGTTAGCGGTAGGTGCATTCTGGTGGCGGTTGATATGCAGCATCAGAATGGGTTGGGCTTCCACATATGCAAACAATACAGGACAAAAATAAGAGAGTATTCTTGTAGCAGCTTGTGACATAGCACACGCGGATGAAAGACGGGCAATGATGAGCGAGCGAGCGCGCGAGTGGCGTTGGAGGCTTTTCGAATGAGTTGAGATTCCTTCAGCTGTTAGGGCACCGCGGCTTGTAAGCCAAGGGATTCTACTTGAGTTCGCCTGATAGCTAGATACAAGATCTTCGTCGCGTAATTGGACATCCATGACCAGCGGCTTTGGCTTTGCATCCGAGTCTTTGAGCTTTGAGTTGGGGAGGGTGCAGATGACCATTCTTTTTCAGACGACGAACTATTTTGCTGTAATTTTGGGGGTTTTATGTTGCTGCTTATGTAGGCCTTCTCAACTTTTTATTGATTTCAAATAGATCTGAAAAGAACTAGTAGTGAGTAGTAGGGTCATTTTTTGGATTTGCAAATGTAAAGACACAATGATTGGCACCAGACCCATTTGTAAGGTAGACTCGGAGATTGTAGCTGTACAGATGCTTGTGAGCCTGGAATTCATCTCGGCCCGAGACAACATACAGAGCTTGATATTCCTTAGCTTTGAACACTCACCCTTGATATTCTTCGCGATCCAATTTTAATAAGAGACTATGCTTCGAATAGCCCATTTTGAGCTTCCATTTTATTACACCATTTTGGTCTTACTTTCACTTCATATCTCTTCTTTGCCCATCATCTCATTAGAACCTTCAATTGGTGCCTGGTTCTGCTTGGTTAACCTCCGTGGTGATGCTGGTACTGTAATGTGCCATTTCCACGTGGTCATCAACCTTGGGTTGTCAAATGTTCACAGGCAGCCTTGGGATCAATATGCGCTGCGTCTGCTATTTTTCCATCCAAAGCCTGCAGCAATCCCCCAGTTTCTGCGCTGGTAGCACATTATCTTTTGATGCTCTCTTCGTCAGCACTTCATGAAAATTCAAAGTGCTGTTTACACGTCTGCTGTTTGCCACGTTTGGACATCATGATTACGTGCAGTTGTTTGTCTACCGGCCTTGACCCTTCCTCCTCTGAGGAGTACCAGGGTTGCGTTGACAAGGTAGTGAATGGAACAGTATTGTAGGCAGCAGCCATGGAACGGTGATGGACTTCCGAGAAAGCGGCTTTCATTTAAAGCAGAGAAGGGTTAGAACTGAATCCAATCCCTTGATTAGTCTCGAGGGTTCACGGTACTGCTGCAAAATGACTTTCTGTGAGCTCAAAGATGATTATACAAAATCATATCACAACCAGTATCTGTGTAAGCAACCCTCCGATTGAAACGGGTGGGTGGAGACTTGCCACCAACACCATCCATATGGCGTCAAATTGCGGTCCATTGGCGTTTAGCACTAAACCCTGGCACTGACACTCTGGAAAATTCTGGAAGCCAAGCTTTCTATACCATCAGCATGTCTTCTAACCCACTCAAACAGCCTGTGTGAGAAAGTAAGTATCCTGATGAGTTTGAACGTGTGAGGCAGGTGTGGAGCAAAGAAAATTTATCGAATCAATCGAGGCTAGACAAGCGAACTGTCTTGCAAAATCTATCCCAAATTCCCTGAAGCTCATGACTTATGGCCTATCCTCAATGTCACAGTTGTATGCAGTAACAGCATGCGCACTGTCCATCAGAAGAATCGATGACCGTGATCGACAATGGAGCCATTGGAATACTTGACCACAACGTCGCCAAAACTTAGACCTGGCGCACCACCAATGTCACCTTCACATTTCCTGCTGCACATTGACCGGCACTAACACCATCATGGTGAGATCCAGCAGGTTTTTAATGCATCTGAGAGACTGTCGTGAGTAGATTTGTATCTGCACATCGTCAACTTCCGAAGACTTGGTTTGAGACCATGTTTGGATCCCTTAGATTGTAGATACTCTTAATCTTTTGCACTATTGTTTTCCTTCTTCGGAGCTCATGATAACTCGATCACTTCACGATGTTTTTCAGGGGATTGTTTGATGACATATGGCCAGCAGTGGAGGGCTGTCATGGTTATAGCAGTGCCTGCACCTAGTTTTGTGCTCGGCAATGATCCACAGGCTTTCGCATCCTTGCAACTTGCTTGCGATAAGCTCACCGTTATCAATTTTGGGCTTTGTAAGGATTGGTCTCTGAAAAACTAGACCATCAGGATAGGGTGGCATTACAACCATCCTGAAGTTTTTCAGAAACTTGCACACATATGTTGGTCTAAAACAATCTTAAACTATTAGAGGATGACAAGTTTTATCTGAAGAATGGAAAATAGCACTACCACAGTTGGTGGTTTAAACTCAACTGTGAAATCCCACCTATGTTTAACAAATTCTAGAACACAGTTTATCTTGTTTCTAAAACTAAAAAAAATGTCATGTTCAATATTCCTTTTAGTTTGTGTTGACATTTTGATCATGTGAATACATATGGGTTATTCTTATTACAGTCAATTTTACAACAACTGATGTTGAGTTCTCACAAATCTGTTCATTGTTTCACAAAGATAAGTGGTTAGAATTGTTAATCTATGAAATATTTGCAATTTATAGACACAAAAACCATTTGAAGTAAGGATTTGATGTTGATTGTTGTCTTCACTAAGTTGAATAATTTATATAGGTAGAATTGATGTTTTAGTCTTTCTATAGAATCTTGCAACTATTAAAATTTTATGTCTTTTTATTTTAGATTCTATATTTTTTTAAAGAATTTTATTGGTCTATTTTCTTCTCTTGTCACATAAAATATAACAAAGTAAATTCTAAAATAAAGTAAAGTAAAGAAAAATATTTTTTGCAATAAATAAGACACATATACAAGTCTTTTGTTATTAAAAAAAAGTTTCAATTTTATTTTATCAACTAGTGTTTTTATTCTTGATTATAAAAAAAATGTCTTTAAAGTATTTGGATATACTTTAAAATATTTTTTTATATTTAGTGAAAAACTTGATTTTTATAACATATTAAAAAACTTAAGCATTCTATGAGAAGTTTTCAAAGTAGCATATAAAAATTTGTTTTAGAACTTGAAGAAGTTGAGCCTCATGTATGATATGCTTTTTATGGACTATATTGTATATTATATAAGATACATTACTACATATTGATAGTCATACATATCTTAAATTAATAAAATTGGTATTTGTTCTCAAAATTTTCTAAATTCCAATTGAAGAAATGTGACTATTATTTTCAATCAATTCCTTGGCTAAATCCTAATTGGTATATCATCAGTTAAAACAAATGTATTATTAAAATTTTAAAATATTTGCCAATCAATATGTAATTTTTTTTGAAGTTTTTTTAATGTTTGACAAAGAGTATGGAAAAATACTTTAATTTTTTTTTGAGAAAAAGTCATAAACAAGGATAACTAATATAATTAAATCAATTGCATATTAAATTTTACAATATCTACAACAATATTGTGATATTATAGGTCATCAATAATAAAAGTTTCAATTGCCTGAACATCGCTACTGCATCGCAATGCTCTGATTAACACAATCTCTTTGAGGTTTCGTCAATGGTAGTCTCGAGTCATATCAACTCGCACTGAAATGTGTTGATTGTATTGCTAAATAGTTGCTTGAAAGATTAGTATGGATAGGAGGTGTGTAGGTATAAAGCTAGCAACTTTAGGATATAGAATCCAAAACTGTTTGAAAATGTTGTGGGTAGCACAATATGCATCTGTGGGCCTTACTGTTTTATTTAAAATCCTCTTTCAAAATGAAATTGTTACAATATCAAAACATATTTAGTTTTTTCAAATCAAAATTAAAGATGTATGTACGTGTGTATGTAAGTATGTATATATATGTACAAATATGTCTATTAGAAAGGAGACTTGTTGCCAAATGACTGTTAATTATCTTAGACTCAAATATTTTCAATTTTATTTAATTAATATTTTATGATTGCATATTTTTTAAATCATTGATAATTTCTTGGAACTTATTTATTTATGATTTAATTAATATATTACTTTAGTAATATATATATATATATATATATATATATGTGGTGTTGCTAATGCACACCAAAATAGATAAAATGCACATTCTTTGTGTATGTGTAATTTAGTATTCTATAAAGTGCATAGTAATATACAACTTAAATTTAGGGTAGCTTGTAGTAGTAGCAACAAAAATTGGAATGGCATCAACAATATCCTATATATATATATATATATATATACATATATAAAATTTTATTCTAAAAAATAATTTTATAGAAAAATACTTTTTATAAGTATTTATGGTTATAAATAAAAAAATAGTATTTAAATCATTCAATTATTTAACTTTGATAACTTCTATATATAAAAAATTATAGAATAATTTATATAATCTTTGTAAAATCACTTTTAAAAAATATAATATGTAATTACTTTTAGAATAATTTACATACAAAAAACCATTACCAAAGTAAAAGCATTACTCATCAAAAATAAATTAATCCTTATTTTAAAAGATTAAAAAGTATTTCAAATAATTAAAAATAAAATATTAAAATTTTATTTGAAATATTTTTTCTTATTTTAGTTTTAGAATTTTGATTGTTAGAAAAATAAAATATAATATTACTAAAAGATGATAAAATCTAATAAATTAGAGAAAATTTTATAAAATGGTGATATATATATATATATATATATATATATGTATATATATATTCATAAACATATTTAATTTTTTCAAACAAATAAGTATACCAACATATATTTTAATATAAATATTAGATATAGTAATAGTATTTGAAATTGGCTTCTATTTGTTAAAGCCTAAAATTTTAGCTTTATATAGAATCAAGTCAAAATTTTATCATTTAAATATATATATATATATATATATATACTAAACACAAAACATATACATTTAAATGTAAGATAGGACAAAGAATTATTTATCTTAAGAAAAATCCTGGAAATAATATATAAATATATATATATATATATATTGATCTATGAGCATCATTATAACTTTGTATGATTCTATGAGGAATACAATAAAATTACTATTAAAGTAGGTACAAAAGGTTCCACATGTGTTTTTATCTTTGAAATTTATTTTATGATCACAACGAATTGGACTTACAGAAATGTAATCAATATTATAAATGGCAGCTGATAAACATGTTTTAAAAGATCTGGGCATAATCTCTAATATTCAAAGCAGTTATATTTAATTTGTGTACTTAAATACTAAACGTGGAAGAAATTATTTTTAAATACATTAAAATTAATTAATATAAAATATCAGTATGCTTATGATTAGATAAAATTTATAATAGATAAAATGGAATAAAAATGCTCCAAGATACCTCCAAAAATTATGATATTAGAAAAATAATAAATATAGTGTGATATGAAAAAATAATATCAAACATAACTTAAAACTATCATAATTAATTTGATGTATATTTATTATTTGATTGCCTATTTGATGTTTATGGAATATTGAAAATTTGCAATCCATTACCAAATATTTATGTAGAGGTTATTAGACGGGGCAAAAACATTGTCTTGTCACACAATGTGTGCCTTATTTGGTAGATATTTAGAATATGTTAAAGATAATCTTCTATGCTTTTAGCACCTTTCTTGATCAATTTAAGATAATCTTGATTTTTTGAACATTGATTTATATC